GGTAGCTGTTAGAGCCAAGAATTACTAGACTACATTTACATGCATTAAGCAGATACGTGCTGTGAGTTTCCTTAACTGCCATTTTCTTTTATTAGCCTGGAAAAGCTTCTCCCTTTTTAGTTTTGCACTTACTGCAGCAGCAAATTTGGAAGCTGTATAAGCTTACAGATTCTGGAACAGCTTTCTGAAATGAAGCAATGAGATAAAGGGTTTTAATAGCGTGCTAGAAAAGGGGAAAATTTTAGTATGGGTGTTTTAAGAATGGTACTAGCCTGAGTGGTGTTTATTCTAGAACTCCTTTTGTGGAATTTTTCATTTTGATAATCTTTACATATAAACCACTCTTACCAGTGTTATTATGTGTCCCTTAGTATTGTTAGCACACAAAAAGGATATTTATGCGTAGGGGTTGGCTTTCATTTGCACCTCTGCTACTTGATGTGGTGCTGGTGGTGTGCGTGCAAGGCTTGTAGGTGTTTCCTGTACCTGCCAGGCTACTCTGCTATGCTGCCAAGAGTTTGCATGACTCCAGCTTAAAGGTTCAGGCAGAGAGCAGCCTCTTCACTAGAACTGTAAGTACCCCTAGCTCTTTGCCGGCTGTAGTGCATGATGGCTGTGTGCTTTATGTTAATTTAGTGTTCCAATCTTCCTTCTTGTGGTGTTTTTGGAGTACAGATGAACTTTCTGCTGTCAGGAATGCTAAGGAAGAAATGGCAGTTCCATCTAGAGCAGTAGGTACTGCTTCCTGATGAGTGCACCACAGTGCAGAGTTCATGAAGCTGATGGGACAACACAGATGTGGTAGAGGGGTGCATCAGCTCTACAGGTTAGCTGAGGCAAGTGAAGTGATGTGCATAATTTCTCTTCTGCATGGCTGACTGAACTGCTTTTTAGGGATGAAGATATCTATGACCTACTTCTGCTTGGAAAGGATTTACATATGGAAAGGTCCCTTAATTTGAGCACAATTACTTCATGCTAGAGCACCCACTCTACAAGCTGCTTTTCTGCACTCTTGAAATCTGCTCAAGCAGTTACCGCTTCCAAGCAAAACAAACCAAAGATCCAGAATCCCACTACAGAGGTACAGCCCCAAGGCACTGTTTTGGTGAACAAAAGTTAGACGGTTTGTTTATTTTCTGGAGGATAGACAATGTGTCTTGTTTGATTAGAGCTTGCAGGTAGTTTATTCTGGTTTAGGGAAGAACTGCATATCCTGCAGTGTCCCACAACTGTGGCAGCTTGGAACCAGAGGATCTGGCAACAGCAGTCATTCAGTGCACGTGTTACAGAATCACAAAGGCAGCAACTGTCATCACGTTGTCCCCGAGCACTTAAGTAACAACATAGGAATCAGTCTTTTTTTTCCCATGGCCAGTGAGGTAAGGGAGAAGTTTTGGGAGTCTCTTTCTGCTGGCTAAGTGGATTCTGCAGAGAGAGGATTCTAAAATGGTTAGGGATAAAACGCAGTTAGAAATTCTTCTGTATGCCCTAGAAGTGGCTCAGAGCCAGTCAATGAAGCTGAACAGAATTAAACTGCTGTTCAGAACAGTTACTTAACAGCCTAGTTCTCTTTGCCTCCCCCATCCCCTTTAGGTGCCAATGCTTGCCAATTTGAGAATTGCAAACCAACTATCTCATACCTAAATTGGCAGATTAACCCTAGGTGAAGCAGCTCAGCCATGAGATGGGTGGCTCCACCTGAAAAGACTAATAAGGAGTTAGTCTGGTAATTCAATGCTTATTTCAGCATCATCATCCTTGTTTACCTTCTCTCCAGTTTACCACTGACAAGTTGCTTCTTCCCAAGAGCTGGAATCCTTACTGACTAAATCCTTCCTCACAGCACCTTAATCTGTGACGTGTGTTTGACCTGCATCTGGACTCTTGGTTTTAAATTCCAGTGGGAACAACTCTGTTCCAGTTTCCTGTTCTTCCAAGGGCTCTGTATTGCACAGTACTACGCTGGTGCAAATACTTGGGGGTCTGTCTGAATGCACTCGTGCAATAGTGAAACCAGCACGGAATGCTTGGCTGACCCATATATTGCATGAACAGGGAAGCTACAGTTACTTTCACAGAGAGGCAAAGTGTTCCACCTCATCACGTACCACTACATGAAAAGTGTGGCTGTCTATAAGGACAGAACTGTAGACATCAAGGAGAACAGTGCAGGTGTTTAGTATGTTTAAAAAATAAAAATACTAGGAGAAAAAAACAGCACAATATAGAAGGGATGGCGTCGTTTGCAGCTGTAAGGTATGGAGCTTACAGATGTCTGTCAGTTACTGGATACATAACCTGGTGTAAGATGCACAAGATGGTCTCATCAAGCCACTTTATTTGCTTGTTTCTAAGGGAATTAGGCCTCAATCTGCATAGTGATGGAACCAGGTCAACTCTGCAGGAGATGTGTTTGTTCTGATGCCAGGTGGAGCCATGTACCATTTGTCCTTATAGGGTAATCTATTTTTCCATTACTTCGAGACTCTGCTAAGGTAAGATACAGATTTTTCAAGGTGTAGGTTAGGGTGAAATCAGTAAAGAACAATTCCAAACATTAAGCTTGATGACTGACAGTTTACTGCCAAAGCCATGCAAGCTCAATGGTGACAGTTCCTTCTAAGATCATCCCCAAGCCTAAGCTACGTTGTGAAATAAATTAGGTCAACGTGATGCTGCTGGTGGAGAAGTAACAGACAAGGTTGTCTTAAAATAATCAGTTTAATGAACCATTTTAAAATAACTGGCCTGAATATTAATGGTTTCCCTCTTATTAATTAGGCGGCACTAGAACACTGTGCTGAATAGCCTGTTAAAAGGGAAAAGAGAATTCACTTGTTATTTCAGGAAGAGGGTGTTCTCTGCTTCCTCTCAGCCTGCAACAGTCCTTGGCAGGCTCAAAGGGGAACAGGAGGATACTGTTGTTTCCATGTTGAGGTTTGCTGCCCTTAATTTGCCTGGACGCTTTTCAGTTGTAATTATGTAGATATGATGAATACTCAGTGATAGAATGGGACCATTTAACTATGGTAGGCTCCGAAGCAGCCAGCTTTGATTGAGGGAAGTCATGTGGAGTTGCAGTTGCGACAGTTGCACAAGGACAAAGCAGCCCCAGCAGAGGGAGGTGAAAGCACTCTGAATCTTTTGGCATGTACTGGATTTGTCACCTCCATCATTCTCACCCTCTGCCTTTTATTTCAGATAATAGACAAAATCCCTCTTGTGTACCAGTGGGGTCTAAAGTAGCTGGGGGAGCAGTTTTAATCCTCACTTCCATTTCCTTGCACTCTACTACATGGGTAACCTACGGAAGAAGACCAGTAAATTTAAGAATGAGAAAAAAGATGACGGAGATCTGGAGATGCCAGAACGTGTTAATAGGAAGACAACTAGAACAGCAATTGCTAAACCCGTGTGGTGTGTCCACATGCTATGATGGATCCTCTCTGTCTGCTCATCCTAGTAATTGCAGAGGAGCTGGAGATGTTTAAGAGTCATAATAGAGCTCCAGGCAGAGGAAGCTGTAAAGTGAGAGACGATTTAATACAGTGAAGCATATCGTTCTACTAAGCAGAAAAGATTGCTCCTGTAATAAATATCTTCAGAGAACTGCTTTAGCAAAGCAGTTTCTATAAATAGGATTGAGGGATGATTCTGAGCATGAGTGCAAATACTGGGAAAAAGTAATTACAGATGCACTGTTGGAGAGAGGATGTTGCTATTAGTTCAACTACCCACAGGCATGTAAGGCACGTAAGCTTCTGAAGACAGCCTCAGAGAAAAAGCTTTTGGTGAGAATGCATATACCACAAACAACTGTTATAAGTTTGCAGCTAAAATACATACTGATAGCCTGAGCCCACTGTAGGTATTTCTTTAGAGACCTTCCTTTAAAGGTTATCAACTCTATCATTTGTTTGAAAATGCTTCTGTAAAGATTGCTGATATATTGGTAATCTTGTTCAACTTCATACTGCAGATCAGTCTACATGAACAGGTCACTTAACTCCTGGGAAATAACTTCCTAGGTTTAGGAATGCATAAAACCCCTGCACATTTGATAACAAAATTCAACGCACTGAAGACAATGAGTCAACTTGACATTTTGTCAACAACGACAAAAAGAATTCTGCATGTGCTTTACTAGTGTCAGTTAACTTCTTCAGATCTCCCAGAGAAGAAAAACTAAGGTCATGGGTTATGCAAACTTGCACTACATATGTAACATCACTGTTTTTATTACAGTGTGATAGCCTGCCAAGGATCATCTGTCATCAGTTTTGAAGAAATCGGTTAAACCTGTCCACAACAGTACATGAGGAGGTAAGTCTTCAGCTGAAGAACAGCAGCTTAACTCTACCACATTCAACCCAGGTCAGGCAATCTACAGCCTTAGCCTGGCAAAGGGCTCACCCAATTTATTTTGATATGTCTCTCAGCTGATGATATTTAAACAAATATAGCCAGAACTCAGGTAGGCAGATGTTAAAAGCCCTGATGATGTAACTACATTTTCACATTCAGGAACCACAGGGGGATGATTACAAGCTGGCAAGCTTTTACTCAGTGCAAAAAGATAACAAAACTATCAAATGATATCTGAAAAGGTAGTTTCAGAAAGCTTTATTGAATACTTTTGAATATGTTACAGCATTAGTAAATTACATTTTGTATTACCCTGCTTTACACTCTCAAACCAGTTTCACACACACTTTTACACGAACTCTGTACTACTACCATCCTACACAACGAGTAGTTTAGTTTGTAAGCATATATAATGGTTTTTGATTGTGACTGTGACAGGCCTAAAGACAGGGTTACTTTATCACACGATGACACCGCAGGCAAGGAAAACAGATCTCTCAAAACACTGTCATGCTGATAAACCATATGGCTGCTCCAAAGGCTTGTTCCTTCCACTATCTTGACCCAAAAAAGCCAGATGCATCACCATGCTATCACACTCTGTGGTTCATCCCAAAATAGGCACTAATTTTAGGCTTGTAGCCACTCCAGTGGTAATTAAGAAATTTGTTCGTTTATTATGAGCAAGACAAATTCACTTTATATAGATTAACACAACTTTGTGCAAATGTCTTACTGCATAATGGGAAAAATAATTCTATATGGGATTCTTAAGCCCAACATTATATTTTTTTTTTAAATTATTTTCTTATATTAATTTCCTAGATACTTTGTATGTCTACCTTGTGCAATTAACTTTCCTGTTGCTTTATTTGTTAAATCCACGGTGGCAAATGCAAGATTTCTTCCTTGCTTCAAAATCTGAGCTGTAATCAGTATCTCTTCTCCCATCTTAGCAGCAGAAGTATATCTTCAAGGAAGAGCAAAATGAACAGGTAAGAGACTGTATAGAGCACAAATCCAAGAATATTCCTGCCTTTTTAGATTATCATGAAGGGAATTAGCAAAAGTGAGTAATAAAGACACATCATAAATGCCTGCTTGCAAATCCCCACTTCTTAAAGTCCTTGAGTTCCTCTAAGTACTGCCGTGGTAATTCAGTATAAGAGTTCTCTGAGAAAATAGAGGATTGAAAGAAACCCACTGGCTTGATTCTGAGGAAGAGTCCATTTTGGAGCAGAAACAAATAGGTATCAAAGATCTCAGTTAAAAGGTCAGCTCCAAGTCCTGTTCCAGCCATTGCTGGCTTCCTACAGCCTTTCTAAACTAGTCTGGCTGGTTCAGCTGTAAAATATCTCTGTTACAAAGGCTCCAGAAGGTCATTTCTGTATGGAACCTAAGCATAGGTTAACTGCTTCCCACACCATGGTCAGAGAAAAGTAATGAAAATCTGGGAGGCCTTCAAACTTCCCAGGTTTGATGCTGTTTCCATTCATTAGATAACTCTTTGTTTTTATTTTCACGAGGAGAAGGGTGTGCTTTTAAAACAACCTCTCCAGGGAATAGGAAGACATTCCCTCACAAATAGCCTGGAAAGAATTAGGAAGAATATGATCCAACCATGATTGAGGTAAGGGAACAATATTCAAATGTTAGAATTACAGAGGAGGATGTGTAATTGCTGGATATAAATCTTACTGAGATAAATTTCATCAACCAGTCCATTTTTATCCATGACACCATGTCAAAAGTATTGTCAGTCACACCTAATAGTGATGTAGCAACAAGCCTCATTAGTTGACTGGGGGTATGGTTTCAGTCTTGTTTCGTTCTCAGAAGCTGCTGCTGATCCTCTTCTGATTTAAAGAAACCCAAAAAAATCCTCCTAACAAACAAAAAGTTTGTGTGTTTCTCTCTGTTCTTTCCATTACTGATATAGCTTCCTTGTGCCAATGTTTTAAAAAGCTCCTTCCCCAAAAGGAAAAGGTTGTATTATAGCAATATTCAATATGCAATATCTCACTTGTTCAAGTAAAGCGGTAGTCTGGGTTAAACAAATCTATTAATATTGCTTCACATAACATTTCCAAAAGGTTATGCTACTTGGTCATTTTGGATCACCTCCAGAAACTTCATACTTGATAGTATAAATAATTCAGATGTTAGCTTCTTGTTATATTA